AAAAAAAAAAAAAAAAAAAAAAAAAAAAAGTAGGCATTAAACCAGGAGCATATTGTGTGGACAAGTCCCAGCTTTTCCAGTGCTGGAAGCCAAGGAAAGGCAGCAATGTCACTGTTGCCAGTTCACACAAGTTTATTATGATTCTTGATGCTTTTCGTAAAGGCCCAATTCCTGGAGTCAGGGGAGGATCCCAGCTTTCATGGGGGGAAAAAAACAAGTAACCTTCTTGGCTTTGGGGGCTGTAGAGAGATGCCTGGCAACACGACATGAGTGGGACCCAACATTTGCCCTATGCTTGTAGCTATAACAACAATAAATTGCACTGCCATAGTGTGTAGGAGCCCAAGTACAAGTGCTAGGTACTGCACAAAGAGTGCCAGTAGGATCCCTGGCCCAAAAAGCTTGCAGCAAGGGAAGAACTGAGGGGTTTAAAATCTCAACCAAGGGGACTGGAGACTCTCTCAACCGGGGAGAAATTAGGCACAGCTGAAAGCACTTAGACTCAAACCCTTTAAAAGGGGTTGGCTGCATTCAGAGGAAGAAAAGGGCTAGTGCAGTGGAGGTGGGATGACCTGCTTCCAACAGGGTAGCAACCCCCAAGGGCTCAAGCTACAGCTAGGGGTTTTTGTGTATGCTCACATACACTTAAAGAGGAATTGTAGTGAAGGGAAAATAGATTGAGTAAGCCTTAGAGGTGTGGATGAGCTCTCTGTCTTCATGGGGAAGCTTTTAAAGAAACCAGCAGGCAGGATGAGAAGGGTACTTTGCTAAGTTTTTCTCTAACTGCTCAGCCTGCGGGCTTCTCAAAGCAGCAATTTCTTGGCAGTAGGCATGGCGTCTGCAAAGCTCTCCATTGCCAGTTTTCTCCCAGCTCCTCTATGGGTGGAAGGTGTGAGGCTGCTGCTGAAGGGAGCTGTTGCTAGAGTGCGGTGTAAAAAGCAGGTGCAGGACCCTTTCAGATCATGGCTTTGTGAAAATGAGGGCTTCAAGCCTCTGGAAATAGCTGAAGTTCAGTGCAGATGAGGGGGAAAGCTGCAGCACAGCACGTGCATACCACCCAGCCCTTGCAGGGAGCTCGGCATCTTAAAAGGGCTGTGGCAAGTGTGCCCAGAAGATGAGGGAAGCCAGAGCAGGACTCTGAAGCTCTTCCCTCCTTGTTTTCTGCTCATCTTGCTGGACCATGCTACCTTCACTTTGCTGTCTTTGCTTCTCTTGCCTAGTTCTTCAAGCATCTGTAAGATCAGACCACCTTGTGCTGGGCACTGGGCAGACAACCCATCCTGAGAACTGCCATTCTCCCCTTTTGCTGCCCTTCCACCCAATTCAAGCAATCAGTAGCATAGCATCAGGGCAAGCTCCTCATTAGACAACCATGCAGGAGATACTTATACCTCTGACGGTTAGGGAAGGAAGGAAGGCCTTGCCAGTTACTAGGTTCTTCTAGCTGCCTGCTTGACATGGACTGAATCCCATGAAAAATGGCAAAGATTAAACATGGGGGTAGACAAGAGAAGGGTTACAATGGGCATACTCTATTGTTGAGCTCTGTAGATTCACTGGATGCATAAGTTTTGACTACTCTCTCTTCCCCTGGTCTGCCTCCTCATACCTCAAATTGCAGAGTTTATCCTGCAGCCTTAGTTTTGAAGTCGCACCTCAAGAATGGGAGGAAAGGGAGCTAGTTAGGACCAATCTCTCTGATGCTGCAAAGCCAAGGTGATTTTTTTTTTTTTTTTTCCCCACTTTCTCTGTTCCAGGTTGCGCTTTTCCAAATGACATTGCTAAGGATTTTTTATTCATGCTCCCTGACCGTGGAATTCACCCCAATTTCGCAGCACACTTTCTATGATCACACTCATTAATCTTCATGTGCATTCACTGTTTAGACTTTTCTAAGACAATTAGACACATTAAAATGGCAATTAGGTGTTTGAACGTGGCCCCACAAGTGCTCTCTCAGCAGGAGATGTCTGGCAGAGGTTACAGCTCGGGATGCCTGACTCTGAAAGACAAAAATTGGCACATGTAGCATGCACCCTTGCAAGGCATGTAGCAACAAGGAAGAAAACAGGGAGGGAGTGAGGTGGGAAAAAAGGGCACCTTAATGCAGGCATTTCCCAGGTGATTTCCTTCTGCCTGCTAGAGGGCTCAAGTCTAGCTGTGCTGCCTTCAGCTTGTTACCAACAGGCCCAGACTGGCTTCTTTAATACCCGAACAATGGAGATTTGTCATAGCAAGAATTGTTCTGGGGTGTCTCAGTGTTTCTCTCTAAAATGGATGCTCCTGATATTAAAGCAAAGGTATATTGTAGCATCCTTAGGGTTGGCTTGGCTCTACAGGGTTAATAAATGGATATGCTGAAACAATTCCTAGGCAAGGGGAGCTCCTCTTTGTTGCCTTGAGAGCTGTTTGTATTAGGAGGTTTCCAGAAGGTATTCTCAAAACTGGTCCAAAATTCAGCGCTGGCTTCCCTTATTACTGATGGCACAAGTGAGCTACCACATGAGTCCTGAAGAGTTTTCTGGCTGACTTTCTCCTCACTGATGGAGAGAGGAAGAGCAGACACTGAGATGAGGTCTGCATCTGAACATCTCCTGTGGAGGACACCTTATGTGCTAGAGCAACTACAGAGGCATCAAGCCAAAGCTCGCTTAACACAAGAAGGGAACAGGGCATTGCAACCACTAGCTTTGAGCAATGTTAGTCTCTCAGAGAGCCAAGAGTGCTTTGTAGCATAAAGGCTGAACATAATTGACCTGGAGGTTTGTTACAGTCATCCAGAAAGACTTTGCAGAGAGAGCTGCATGGTTTTGACAGCCATCAGACCCGGCTTTACAATCAGGGGCATGCATGCTAACCATCCACATAGAACAGCCAACAACTGTTCAGGTTGGGGGAAAAAAACCATGACAGGGTGGGTGAGACATGGGACTCTGTGAAAAGGGGGCAACCTATGCTGCTTCTCCCTGCAGAGGCACTCAGGTGGTTGACTACATCAGGGAGGAAGGTTAGCTTTGTGTGAAAGGAGGAGCGGTCTGGGCGGTCTCCAGAGCTGACCCCTCTCTCTCTCGTTTTGCCTGGCTCCGAAGCTGGTGCAAACCAGAAATCCTTGAAATGGTCTTGAGAGAAGACTTGCTCAAAAAATTCCTGCAAATGCTGTCACTGGACTTTGATGGGGAAGGGTGACAATTTTTCCCCCTGCCCTGGCTTTGTTGCATGGGCTAAAGCTGCCAGATGCAAATTAAACGTTGGTGACTTTACAGCTTGGCACCCTGGCTAAAAGTGGGCATTGCAGAATACCCAGCATTTCTGGAAGTCCCAGGCGATGGGCCCATGCCTAGCAGCCAGTGAAAAGACAGCCCTAAGCGCAGGAAGGAAGCAGATTGCCCAGACAACAACAGCTGTCTCCAACTTGTTGGAGTTCTACATGCTGTATGGATCACAGATTTAGGAGACAGGGGGAAAAAATAGCTTCACACCAACATCTCTGAGAGCAGCAATAAGCAAGGCAGATGTTAGCCTTGCTGGTACCCACTGGAATTATGCTCTAGCAATTTGGCAGCTGTCCTCTGCCCATGCCAACCTATTACTGAGGATGCAAGCTTAAGTTAGATGGGGGCTGGGTCCTACTTATCGGGGCCCCACACGCTTTGCTCTGGAACGAAGACAAATGGCATTTGAAAGCAAAGGAGACAAGGCTTTGCTGGCTCTGGCAGAAGACCTAAGCTGTTTACAGGCTCCAAGGGAGAATGCGTTACGCTTTGGCACCACCAATTAATCCCCCCCCATCTTGAGGGCAGACTTGAAACTCGTGGAAAGGCAGATCAAGGGAAGGGCATTATCAGGACCAGAACAGTGTTGACGGTCTGACTCCTGCCTTATCTTCCTTCCTTCTGTTGTTCCTCCAGCTCAGCAGTTTGGAAACAGGCTCCGTGCACAGATTTGGAACATCTCCACGTGCAAAAAACACCCCCCACCCCCAAAACAAAAAGGAGAGTGGTGCAATTGCAGACGACAGCAGCTGCAGCCGTGGATGCCCATGAGCACAGATGCCACACACATGCTTGGCCCCAGGGCTGCTCTTCAGCCCGGGGTGCCTCTCAGCTGGGACCGCTGTCGTGACACCTGCATTGCTCCAGGCAAATGCAATCTGTCTTCATTAGAAGAATAATCTTTCTGGGAGGAAAAGCCCAGGGGAGTCTTTGCCGTGTGTTCTGGAGTCCTGCAAGGGCCTGGCAAGAAGGATGCCAGCTGCCATCCTGTTTGTGCTCTGGCAAGGCTTGAGAGAGACCAAAAAAACCCTGGCACTAGAGGTTACATCCAGGAACCATGACTTTGAGGAGCTCCAGGGGCTGTTTCTGCTTCTACCCCCTTGGTGCTTCAGAAAATGAAGTGAGCAGGGATGGAGAGGGCTGGTGCAGAGGCTGCCCCCATGTCGGGGAGTCTGCCTTGCATCAGGTCTGTGACTGCCAAGAGCCAGGTCTCAAACCTACGTTCCCCAAGCCCACAGCCGCCACCGTTTCATCCCAGAGGGGTTCTGTGAAGCGTGATAGCAGAGGAAGGCTGATTTGTCCTGTGCTGGCACCAACAGGGAGATGCTCTCCAGCATTGGGGCATGTCTGATGTTGACAATACTGCACTGGGTCCCTCCCATGAAAGGACACAAATCCAGCTTCCTTGGGGCTCTTTCTATGCTACCAACCTTTGTTGTGCTGAAGGGAAAGTGTGTCTCATCAAGGGACCCAGTGCTCTTTCCCACAACTGTTCTCCATTTGGGTAGTTTTTGCTCTGGACAGCACCTCAAAACCCCAGATAGTCCATACATGGGCCCAGGACTTCTGCGCTGG